TGGACTTGAACCTAGGTCTTCCTATAACCAAGGGCAATCTTTTATGCCACAGTGCTCTCACCATTTGCTTGGCAAACACCACGCTGAGATTGAGTGACCAGGTGTTTGCCCAAAAGAAAACAGCCATCTTCCCAAATCAAGAAGTTCTGGGTTTTCATTCTGTCAAAAACACGCAACCTGGAAGATTTAAATTTTTTTTCTTTGTGCCACTTTCCAGATTTAAAATAGCTGAAATCATTTGGATCTTTCATTTTGGAAAACTGGGAACTAAAAAGCTATTCCAGCCTGACAGTCAATGTGCCAAGATTCTGTCAACTGCAAAGATACAATTTGGAGAGTGAGAATAAAATTTTATGTCTTGAAAAGCATAGTTTACAGAAAGAGAAGTGATAGAGGGTTTTCCAAACACAGTTTTAAATTGACCTCTGGTGATGCACCCAATAATTAAGATGCGTTTCTCTACATCTTTTGAACTGTAAAAGATCCTGAGGCTTATGATGGACCTTATAGTACCTGACATTCTACTGAAACACATCAGATCCCCCCCTCTTGTTGCCTCTATGTTACTACACAGGGAAGAACATGGGGATCTTGGAGTGTGTCTGGCCCAGGTTCATGCTTCTTGGCACCCTAGACTCACTCTCACATGCATCAGCCTTACCAGATGTCACTCTGCCCTCTCTCCTATACTCGGGGATAGGGGGCAGAAGAGAGCAGCATTGAACATACTATTCTATAAGTGCCATGGGAATACATGGGGCTTAGAAGGTAGAGCATCCATTGCTATAACTCACTGGTGAAAAAAGCCTATGCTCACAACAGCAATTCCCAAACTAATTTGGCCCCGGAAAGCACTGAGATTTGAAGCATAAAGATGGAAATCAAACCTATTGATACTGTTTCAAGTATGATGTAGTTATGGAACATTCTGGGCTAAAAGGTAGATTGGGGAAATTTTCAGGCAAAATAGAGAAAATTAAGGCTATTTTCATACCCATAGTTGGCCATATCTACCAAATGTAATTTCCCATTTAATATTTTACAGTACAGGAGAAAATACCAGTAGCACTGAAAGATCCTTTCAGAGTCTTCATTCACATGAGCACCACGAACTAGTAAAGAAAACATTGCTTTACAAGAAAGAGCAATGGCTTATGGGTAAGCACAAAACCACGATAGTGGCCCGCTTTAAATCTAGCCAGCCATTCACCTCAGGGACAAGTCTCTCCCTGCTCTCGCCCCTGCTCTTGCGCTCCTAAGGTAGATTCCAGAATGACAGTGTTGAATTAGGAATACAGATCCGAATCTCAAAGGCTCCAACTCTTATTTCAAGCCAACGTATCACATTTTCCCCAAACCTAGAGAACTAGAAGGGAGGGCAGCAGCCTCCCTCAGGTCAATGGAGAGCAGCCTGCAGAATCATCAGTTCTAACAAACACCATTCCTCTTCCAGGGATGCAAGAGGACGAAGAGGAAAAGAGCTCAACGTGGAGCCAGTTGGGAGAAAGGGAAACTAAAGCCAATTCAGGGAAGGAATTTGATTTGGTTTGTTATAGGGACTGGCAGTGAAGCTACGAAATCTAAAAACGTGGGAGTTTGGGATCAATTTGGAACAGCTCCCCATGCTGCAAATTTTAAACTTATGTACTGTCATTAGTGATTTTTTTTTTTAACTTCAGTTTAAAACTGAGGAACAAGGTCGCTGCTAACTATGAGAGAGCCTCTCCCCTTGGATTTGGTGAGCTCCTCCCCTCCCCCCTTTTTGTGGAACAAGTAGGTATCCGCATGTTTGAATTTGTCACTGTTTTCCAGTGTGCACAGACAGTGGTCTGACTGGCACAGCCACTCACAGACTTCGTGCAAGCAAACAGCTGCACCCTAGAGTCGCAGCAGGTGCACTGGGGGAGCCCAGCTGAAAATTCGGCAGGAGAACAATAGCGCCGTTATGAGGCCAAGAGATGGGGCCCTGCAGAAGGAACAACCAGTCTACTACTTCTGATGGCAGGAAGAGCTGAAGACTCGGGCTGCAGGCCAGGGAAATTTAGCCTCCTGGTCTGGGAAACAGGCATTCACAGAAACTGCCAGGTACCACTCATTGCATTCCACACCTCAATCAAAGCCCTATCGGGAGGCAAAGCACCACCAACTATGTGGCTGGATGCAAATCCTTCCAGAAAAACATATTCCTCTCCTTTTAAAGGAACACCACCTCCCTTGGGTAGCACTGCCACATTCACCAAGTTTCCATTTACATCCAAATATGCGCAAAAAAAAAATTACAGATGCATCTCACTCCCCCAGTGACTTTATAACATGTTGCTAGGTAACCGTGCATACAAGTCAGGTTCCTGGACCTCTAGTAAGTCACCATAAAATAACTGCATGGGTCTTTTGCATAAATAGTGTGTATTGTATCTGTTTTCTGATGCCAATAGATCAGTGGGCAAAGACATATCAGTCTGCCAAACTGTAAACAGCTCCTTGTCTCCTGCTAATTGAAAAACATTAGCTCATGGTACAGAGGTTTTGGTAGCAGCCCTGCCCCTTCCCTCCCCCTTTCTTCTGACTTTGAGGAGGCTTTTCCCCCTTCTGCTTCTCTGCACTGAAGTCTATGCTCCGAGCAGTCATAACAAGCCCTCTTATCGACTGTTGGCCCTAGCAGAGGTCTGGAGCCACTTACGGCATAATGTCGTGCACCTCTTGGAGAAAAACACATCTGAACTCAGTATGAGCATCACCAGGCAGCGGTTTTTCATTTCTAGGGATTAAGCCTCCCAAATATAAATCTGACCTTCATGGAGTTACCCTCCCCTACTTTTCCTAACCCTTAACCTTTGATCTCACATCCCACGGGGTCTTCCAAGAACAGCAAATTTTGCCTTTTTTTCTAAGTTAGAATATATAAACAGGAAGCTTCATCAGAATCATAGGTTTAGAGCTTGAAGGAACCTTAGAGATCAATGAGTCCAGCTTCCTCTTTTTTATAGGTGAGGAAACTGAGGCCCAGGGAGGTTAAATGACTTTCATGAGTAGCAGGCTTCTGAACGGGAATTTGGATTCAGGTCTTCAAGTCCAATGTTCTATCTACTGCACCAGTGGTGTCAAACTCAAACAGAAACAAGAGGCATTTGGATTTAGAAAACCACAAATTAACATTATCTATATTTTATTATACTTTAATTTATCATGTTAAATATTTCCCAATTACATTTTAATCTAGTTCTGGCCATGAGTCTGACACCTCTGTGATACACCACTACATCTTTCCCCTGGGATTAGACTAAGTGAGTTCAAAGAAGAATAACCCTTCCCATGTATCATCCAGTGAGGCTGTCAAGATGGAAACTGGGTCTTCTGGGGGGTGATGTTCAGAACAACCAGAGAAGATTATGAAAGAAGGGCGTAAGAGAAAGGCATTTTAAAAAGACTATAAAATAATGACTGGAAAGCTGGCCTTGGAGTAAGGAAGACCTGGGTTCAAGTTCTTCCTCTGACACATACTAGCTGCATGTCTATGAGTACTTCTCAGAGTCCCAAACTAAGACCAAATTACGGCAAAGTGGTGATCCCCATAAGTTAAATGAACTTCCATACCAGGAGTTACAAACACTGATGAAATCCCACGTCCAGGCACCATTACTGCCCCCCCGCCAAAAAAAGATACTACTCTTTTCAAATCTGGATAAATTAAAATAACATAGCCTTTTAAACAGTATAGCAACTTTTTTTTTAACTCCATGAGAAAATATTATGATATTAAATGACTCTAAACAGATAAAATTAAATTTATCTTTAACTCTTATGGCATCATTAACATCAAGGTAGGATGGTACTCGACTCTTCTAAGCTTTCAATGTACTGCACCAACTCCTACCCTCTTCCCCCACCTTCTGCCTTCAGTTAATTTCTTCAACACATAGAACTCCATTTCCCACATCTCATTCCTTCCAGGAATTCCTTCCTACCCTTCCAGGGTAGTCTCATCACTCCCCTGAGGAGCAAAGATTGAGAGCCATGAGGACATGAAGCCATTTCACAAGACCCAACTGAAGTCTCACTGAGCAAAGGGATGAGCGGGTGAAACTGAACCTCAAATTCACCTGGCAGTGACATTTAGTAAAATGCAACTCACATCCAGCTTAAAGAAAGGTGGTGACCAATTATTCTCCATTTAAAAGGGTTTTGTCAATCTCCAAAGAGCTGAAATGGCATTTGGTCTTCATTGAAAGACAGAACCAATTCTCAACCGACCTTTCCCCACCCTCCACATTGCCTTTAAAATTTTAAATCCTACTTCTAAAAAAGTTCATAAGCTGCCATGCAACTCCACCAAATGCCCTGTCGAACCAACAATGTAGTCAGCAAAAACACTTCCTTTTCCCAATGTTGGTACCATTGCTTAACCTCTAAATAATCACAAAACAGGCTGAAAGAGAAAAAAGATGGTGACAAAGAGAAAATGAAACCCTTGTATAATTTGCTGCAGGCTGGTGGAGTCAATGAAAAAGAGTAATGTGCTTTCAGAATTTCTTTGGAAACCTTTCTGGTGTACCCACATTTAAAAAAAAAAAATCTACACTACCTAATGCTAATCTGTGTTCCTTTGTCCTAAGACACCTTTAAAACTGAGATAGCAAAGAACAGATGAAATCAGATACATTCCAGCCAGGCATTTTACAGAACCCAAAGCAGGGAGAAGGTAAACGGGAAACCCAAGGTCACAATGAGCATCTGGCAAGAGACCAAGGCAAATCTTTGGCTCCCAACGTCATTATGATCACCTTAAACACACACACACACACACACACACACCACAAGAACACATAAAGAACATGCAAAAAGGAAAGAAAAACAGAAAAAAGAAACCAAGCCCTTTCATTAACTGACTAGGCCCAAACAATTGGAGCACATAGAAGGGAGGAGATAGATATATCTCAGAGGCACCACAGGGAAGGAAGCAGGAAGAGAGAAAGAGGATGAGCACTACCCTACTCAATTACCTGACAGCTTCATGAGAAAGTCCGATGCCATCTTCACGGAGATGTCTTGGCTGAACAACGCTGACGCGGTGTTGGCTACGTAGTCTGAGGTGTCTTTCAATTTTGTGTTGTTCATGGGTCTATCGGCAACATTCAGGGTAAAAGAAGGGGACAGGCCATTATCTTCCTTGGGCTCTTCCTTGACCAGCAAAGGTGGAATACCAGTACTGCTCTGGCTAGTCCTTTCTGGAGTTCTAGACAGGACTGGAGTCCCCACTAACTCTGTGCCTGCTCCTTCTCTTTGCTGTCCCAGACAGGCACTCTCACTGAGCTGCGGGGACCCCTTCACATCTGTTTCTGGGATCTCCTCCTTCACCTTGGCTTCTGTCCTCAGGAAGTGCTGGTGGCATCGCATGTGGAGCTTTAGGCTAAAGTGACGGGAGGAGGTAAAAGGACATAGCTGGCACTGGAAGGTCTCGCCTCGGTCCTGGTGTTGATGAACCTGAGGAATGGGGGAGGGGGGGCAGGGTTCAGGGGGCAGGAGGGGGAGGAACACCCATGACACATTTATAAACTAGGTCTCATTACATATTTCCAAAACATCTTCAAATCATTCTTCTACAATACAAACAATAGAATCAGGAAGATAAAAACCTGAAATATGTCATAGCTATGATCTTAAAAAGAAGGACGATAATCCCTAAACACAAAGTGAGCCCACAGAGTTTATGCAGCTCATTCATACAGTCAGGAGGACAGATTTTCAGCACGCAATTCATTAGGAGAAGCATCATGTAGTCATTTCAGTCATGTCCAACTCTTCATTTGGGATTTTCTTGGCAAAGATACTTGAGCAGTTTGCCATTTTCTTCTCTAGCTCATTTTACAGATGAGGAGACTGAGGCAATCAGGTCAACTGACTTGCCTTGGGTCACACAGCTAGTAAGTGTCTCAGGTTAGATTTGAACTCAGGTCCTACTGACTCCAGGCCCAGCACTATCCATTGCATATCCACCTAGCTGCCCTAGAAGCATCATAGAACAGTGGGAAAGGCTCTGGATTTGAAATCATAGGATCATAGGGGCAGATAGGTGGAGCAGTGGATAGAGCTCTGGCCTTGGAGTCAGGAGGACCTGAGTTCAAATCCAGCCTCAGACACTTGACACTAGCTGTGTGACCCTGGCAAGTAAGTCACTTAACCCCCACTGCCTCACCAAAAAGCAAAAAAAAAAAATCATAGGATCATAGATTTGGAGGTGAAAGGGACCTCAGAAGTCAGATCTAATTCAACCTGCTCAATTTTCAGATGAGGAAACTGAGGCCCAGAGAGGTTAAGTGTCTTTATTCAAGATCATACAGGTTCATAACATCAGAAGTGAGATTTGAATTCAAGTCTTCTATTTCCAAAGTCCCCTATCACCTAATTACAGAACACAGAACATATACACTTCATTACTCTGGTTTATATACCAGTCTGCCATTATGTGGCCTTGGGCAAGTAACTCATCTGTAAGATGAGGAAATGGGACTAAACTACTTCTAAGGCTCCTTACAGTTTTAAACCTAAGCTCCCACCATTTTTTGGCTGGATCTACCTAGCCTTCTAAGCAAGTAATACCAGCTGATAATCTTAGAGCAATAAATAATCATAAACCCAACAAACTATCCAATTTACATAATAATTAACTAAGGTCAGCATAGGTACCTCATCAATTAATTTCCCTGACAACAATAATACTTTGCATTTATGGAACACCTTTCACCCCGGGACTTATGTGTACTTTGCAAATAGAGTCTCACCAATTTTCAAAACACTGCTCATAGTTAATGGTACTGGACCAAGAGTTAAGAAAGCCAAGTTCTAGCCCCAGTTCTCTCCCTAGCTAGTCATGATACCATAGGCAAGTCACTTTATGTCTCTGGAACTCAGTTTCCTCTTCTGTAAAATCAAGGAATTTAAAATGTTTATTACAAGGGAAAGATCACTGTAGCTAAGGGAGAGGAATTTATTGGAAATAAATGGGATGCAAAAGCAAAAGGCATGAATTAAAGTTTAAATAAACTAAAATAAAATCAGAGAGCCAGATTAGATGATGAATGCAGCCTGCAAGGAAATGAAGTGGGCAAGGGCACTTAACCTCACTGGGCCTCCATTTCCTCATATGTAAAATGAAGGATTGGAGTAGATGGCCTTCCAGTCTTAAATCTCTGAATCTATGTTCTATCACAACTTTCAAAGATGTGGAAATGAGAAGCAACACAGTATAGAGGATAGAGAGGGCAGCCTGTGAGTCAGGAACACCTGGGTTCAAGCACTGACTTGATATGTATGACCATGGTCAATCACTTAGTGTCCCAGGCAGCTCTGGGAGGCTATAAGTCACCCGTTAGGTGACAATCTGCAGGCCCCATGGAGGAACTTTCCATGCCTTGATTTCTCTAGTTGGAGGAAGAAAGAAAGAGAAGGGAGGGAAGGAAGAGAAGGAAGAGTAGGAAGGAGAGGGAGGGAAAGAAGAAAGAAAGAGAAGGGAGGGGAGGAAGGAAGGGAAGGAGGGAGAGAGGGAAGGAGGAAAGAAAAAAGGAGGGAAGGAAGGGAAGGAAAGAAGGGAAGGAAGGGAAGAAGAAAGGGAGGGAAGGAAGAAGAAAGGAAAGGAAGGAAGAAGAAAGGAAGGGACAGAAGGAAGGAGAGAGGGAGGAAGGGACAAGAAAAAGCAGGGAAGTAGTTGTGGGAAATAATCCCATTGCAGCATTCCCATTTCACCGAAGGAAAACTTCAGACACAAACATTAGTGTTTTACACCAAAATCACACACAAAAATCCATGTAGAATGGAACTAAGAAGCTGGGATTTCTGACTCAGAGTCTGTCTCTGCCCATTTATTTTAAATCTCTCACAGAAGCAGACTTTTCCAAATGGAGTATAAATAAGCCTCAGACTCCAATGTGTGGCATATGAATAGAATGCAGACTGCTGCATCTGATTCTAATCCACCATGCATACTACCTGCAGAGGTTCCAAGGAACTTTTTCCCCACTCCTGTCCTGGACAAATTTAGTGCTTGAGAAAGTGAGAAAATAATTGCATTGGCCTGAGCCAGGCTTAATGCTGGCAGGTGCTATGTAAGCTTGTAAGCTCCCCCATTCATCTTTGCCAATGTACTTCAGTCCTGACCTGTAACACCCTTGCTATTTCAGTACTGGCCCTCCCTTGAGCAGAAACTGCCAATCGTGGAGATTTGGGCCAAATTGTTTGGGTAGTTGTGTGATCTGAACAAACAAGCAACAGATTGGAATGAAAAAAAATCCATCTCTTTTTTCTTTTTTTTTTTTTAAATATCTGAGCAAAAGGGATTTGAACTCCAGTTTGCAAAGGTTAAAGGCTCATTCATTAACCCACTCTGCTACCTGGCCCCTCTGCAGAGATTTTCTTTCCAAGACAGCAAGTTTTACTACAGCTGTTTACACATTCTGAAAGCAGTCCAAAAGCATTATTCACCAGCCAAAACATACTTTTAAATAATGTTAAATGACCAACAAAAGCAAAAGAATTAAAAGTTAATGGTGAGATCCTGTCGCTACAGCACCCCACTGTGGCTTTTGGAAAAAAACAACGGAGGACGCCCAAGTTCCCCCAAACAGGAGTTTAATAACAGAAATAGCCACATGAACAGCCATCCCCAGTAGTAGCAATGTTCTGCTAATTAAATGACAGACTTTTTCAACACCCCACGCCTTTTCTTTGTGGGAGGGGCACAGGCATCTGTCAGAGGATGTTAATACCATCTCTCTTTTATTTTATGACAATGAGCTCTAAATACCGATAATTTCCATTTAGTGTCTAACGTCTTGAGAATCCAATTCAATTTCCTCCACCCCATTCCTGCTGAACCATCCTCCTCTGAGGCCCCATGGTACCGCCCCCCCAAAGGCATCTGACAAAGGCTTCTAGAATCATGCCCTGAAACGAAGTGGTTAAAGGTCAGGCTACAGAAAGCTTCCAGCCCCCAGGGGAGTGCCCAGTGGGGCAGATTCCATTTCAGCGGTGTCTGAAGGAGAGAAAAAGAGAAGTGAGCTGATCCAGGAACAGAGCTCCGAAATCAGCTTTTAGTGGAGGGGAAAACAATATGGAGTTGCTGCCTGTTTTGAAGTCTGGACTGAAAATAGCCAGAGGACATGCATTTTATAAAAATGGGCTTTTGAGTTTCATAAGTATATGCCGTGTTTTGTTCTTCCTCTATTTAGGCTTGGGAAATAAATTATTGTGTGACTTATAATGACTCCAATGAACTGTTGGTAAAAATCTGTCCTTTCAATGGAGAAGTGGTAGACTACAGATGTGGAATGAGGCATACCATCTGTTATGCTTAACTGTACCTCTGTTTGGAGGGAGAGTTCTATTGGGGGAGAAGAAGTGTCATTGATGTAAAAAAAAAAAGTATCAATAAAGCACTCATTTAATTATTTGACAAAGGGAACGCCTTCTTAAAAGTGTGGAGACAAATCAACTGATACTGCTTTGACTTTCTGAGCTTCCTGGTTAAGCCTCCCATTCCCTCCTGCAATGACTTTGCATTACCTTGGGTATACTTCACTGGGTACATTTCTTTCTTTCCTCAAGCCCGCCTCCATGAAGACAAGCTCTTGGAGGGCTCTTCATAGCTCCATCACCTGGCCTAGAACTGTCACCCAATAGGTAGGTGCTGGCTGATGGGAACTTTTTTTCCCCAAAGTGGGGGGAGCTGAGGGGGTGAGGTCAGGGATCCCACGTCGCATTTGGCCTTTGACTTAAAAGAATATCTCGGTGCTTCTAAAGCTCTCTGGACCTGTCGCAGCAAAGCAGAGCCCGCCTAAAATCTTTTCTTCCTTCTGACTCAATATGTACAGCCTCTTCTCCTTTCTTCAGCATGCTGGTCATTTTTCTGAACAGCAAATACCACACATCAAAAGGGGTTAGGAACAAGAGAGACCTCTACAATCAATGAGTCTACCTCCCAGCCAAGATAGGGCTTCATAGCTTTCAGCTGCTATGGCCAGAGACTCATACTGTGGCAAAGTTGAAAGGGGCCTCAGAGATCATCTAATCCAACTGCCTCGTTTTACCAGAGAGGAAAACTGACCCATGGAGAGGTTAAGTGACTGACTTAGCTCGGGCATAAAAGCTGTCCATCTTCAGGTACCTAAAGAGCTGTACCGTGGAAGGGGTTTGGATGTGTTCTGGGCTCTGGGACAATGAAGTTGTAATAACAACAACCTCAAGTGTAACAACTAATGTTCATAGAGTGTTCTAGGATTTACAAAATGCTTTACACACATTACCCCAATTGCTCTGCACGACAGCTCCGGGAGGGAGATACTATTTTACATTTTATAGTTTGACAGGAGACAGAGACTCAGAGGAGTCAAATTACTTACCCAGGGTCACACAGCTAGTTGGGTGACAGTGCTAAGTCTAGAACCCAGGTCTTCTCACTTGGAGGTCAGTGCTCTTTCCATTATACCAAATGACAGTATCAAACAGTAGCTAGGGCACTGGAGTCAGAGATGTGGGTTCTAACCCTGCCTCAGACTCTAGCAGCCACTATATGACTCACTTACCCTCTCTGTCTCAGTTTCCTCATCTGAGAAATGAGGGTTGAAAATAGCTCCTCTATCTCAGAGCGGTGTTGTGAGGATCAAATGAGAATCTGAGCATGCCACTTTTCAAACCTTAGTTATACATATTTTATATATTATTTATGCTTTAATGTTGTCTTTATATTTTATATATTTATTATATATAATATATTTTAATGTATATTTTATATATTATCATATATTACTATATATGTATATATGATTACTAGGATCATCTCTGCAGCTCTCCCTTTATTGGGTTCAGCTTTAACTTAAGAGACTATTAGGTTGCTTCCTTCAGGCCCATTCATCTAGGAGGGTTGTAAAAACATTTAATGAAGATAGGAAATAACTCCAAGAAAACTAGAAATATTACTAAATATATACTTCAAAAGGTGGCCAGGAGAAGGATAGAGGGCAGGGGAAGGGAAGTGTCTGGTTTTATGAAGGTATCATGTCCGCTTACCAAAAGCCTAAATGAATTGCAGCCCAATAGGTTAAGAGAACATGAGTTTGAATAAATTCATAGTTTCACATAATTGCTTTATTGTACCAGTTATTGATTTGTTCTGAGAGCATTCTGAGTCCCCACGACCTCCACGGACCCTGCCGCTCTCAGATGCAACTTAGCCATAAGCCAGAGTCTGTCCTGGATCATCAAGGCATCGAACCCACCTTCCTCTAGTTTCAGGGTCAATAGTCCTTTCTTTTAAAACTATGGCTTTATAAATAGGCTGGTTAAATGACCTTGGGCTGAGGCAAGGCTCCCAGGTTGCTGAGCCAGAGTCAAACTTCCTGCTTAACCAATACTTTAAATTAGCTAGATCCCACTTCTAAGCACAACATACTATACAGTATCTAAAAGGAGTTTTTGTGATAACAGGCACTTCTTACAAGCCATTTCTTTCTAATTCAATCCTGACTGTACACATTTAAAATCTGAGTTCTACTGCTTTGAAGAAGGAGGGGGATCTAGACCACTATGTATAGTACAAGTCAACTTCTATTCAGAGCTTTCTACTAACCAAATGCAAGAGGGGAAGAGCATCTCACTTTAGGAGAAAGAAGAGGTTGAAAAACCAAGCTCACATTTAGGGTTCAGCTCTTGGAACAACAGCTTCCAGGGTAAGTCACAAAATTTCAGAATCTCAGGGTTGGAAGAGATCTCAGACACTAGTGCAGGGGGTCTTAACCTCTTTGGTGTCCCAGACTCCCAGGGCAGTCAGGTGAAGCCTACGGACACCTTCTTGGAATAATGTTTTTAGATAAAGGAAAAAAATGTTAAATTTCAGTTAGAGGTTAGTAAAAACAAAGATGTCATTTTTTTCCTCCCATCCAAGTTCCCAAACCCACTGAAATATATCTACTGACCCTTTGGGGGTCCCCAGACCCCAGATAGCAAAGCCCTGACTCAGAGGAACACCTGCACCTGGGCTAGAATCCCCTCTAATGCAGATAATGGGCTAAAGTGAAGTAGGATGCCACGCCTTCCCAAGGCAGCCCATTCCACCTTTGGGTGGCTTTATTGGTGAGGAAGTTTTTGCCTTGTAGCAAGCCTACATCTGCCCCTTGACAACTTTCATATACTGCTCACTATTTGGCTGGTTCTTCCACATGAAAACCCTTCAGTTACATGAAAATAGTTCTCATACCTCGTCTCCCTAAGTCTTCTCTTTTCCAGGGTATACAAATTCAGTTTGATTCAATTAAATTCAAAAGGCATTATGGCATCTACTATGTGCTAAATACCATGTTAGGTACTAGGGACATTAAAAAAAAAAAAAAAAAAAAGAATGGGTCCCACCACCAAGGATCTTAGATGCTCCTGGAATTCTTCCTCTAAATAATCCTCAAATAGCATGTCCTTGAGGCCCTTTCACATCCTGTCATCCTCTGAAAAGTATTCAGACATACTTATCAACATTCTTCTTAAGATGTGAATATCCTGCTCCATATTAGGTCTGACCAGCAGGAATATCACCATCTTAGTCCTGGACATTATGACCTTCTCATTAAGATAGAGTACAATCAAATTAGCTTTTTTGGGCTGTAGTATCATATTATTGACTAATGTTGAGCCAACAGTTCACTAAACCCAGATGATTTATCTGAGGAACTGCTTTCTAACATGACTCCTCCATCTTGCATTTGTCAAGATCTTTCTAGACATTGACTCTGTCATCGGTCCATTAGCTACACTTCCAAGTTGGGCATTACTGGCAAATCTGATAAGCCTGCCATCTATGCTTTCATCTAAGTCCCTGTTAAAATTGTTAAGTAGCAAGGAAAAAAAATAAATTAAAATTTTTTAAAAAAATTGTTAAGTAGTATGGGCAGCTAGATGACACAATGGATAGAGCACTGGCCCTGAATTCAGGAGGACCTGAGTTCAAATCCGGCCTCAGATCAAACACTTGACACTTACTAGCTGTGTGACCCTGGGCAAGTCACTTAACCCCAACTGCCTAAAAAAAAAATTGTTAAGTAGCATAGGACTGTAATGGGTACCTGGGAAACTTCACTGAAGACTCCCTCCCAAGCTGGTATTAAACCACTGACATTGAAACTCTGAATCTAGCAACTCATTCCTTTTCAAATCTACCTAACTTTCTATGGCAGTCCCCCAAAGGCCTGTCAAATGCTTGGCTAAAAGCTAGGTAAACTGTGCCTGCAATGCTCCCACATTGTACTAGGTCCATACCCATTCAGCCTCATTATTGGTAGCTTTCATAGCTTCAGTGTTAGAACAATGACCACTAGTATTCAGGGTGATCATTCTAAGACCCTGCTGTATCTTAAATTAACAATTCTATATATTCTAAAATACTCTGCTTACTGAGGCAGGGAAGTAGATTAATGAATTTAAGAAAGACATTCAACAAGAAAATATGAAACAAAGAGGTTTTCTGGCAATAAAAAATCCAGAAAGACCCTCAAAGATCACCCCATTTCTTGCCCTTGATTTTTAGAAAACTGAGGTTCAGAGATTAAAGAATTTCAACTGGAATTAGAACCCAGGTCTCTTTATTCTTAGCCCAGGGCACTTTACCTTGCACTATACTACATCTTTGAGATATCCAGAAAATTAATGAATCACAACATCCCTGACCAATTTAATTAGACCGAATTTTTCAGTCATATCCCCACTACTGAATAGTAATCATTATCAGTAGAGTCATGAACGATCTATGTTAGATTAAACTCTGTCTAGTTAATTAGCCTTTCCAAATCATGCACCTGAATAAAACAGGACTGTATTCAGTTCTCTGCAGCCTCTCCACAGGCACCATAACAGAATCATTAATACCTTGTGACTAGACAAGCTCTACTAGACCATGAGCTCCTTGAAGGAACAACTTTATCTAAACTGTACATCCAGGGCATTTGAGAAATCTTGATTGTGGTGGTGATTATTAATGGATCCCAAAGGTATCTCTGACCATCAGGGAAGCTCACTCCCAACAGTAAGAAAAGCAAACTAACTATACTCCCAGTCTCATAAGAAAAGACTTCTCATGGATTTCAGAAAAACCTGGAAAGACTTACATAAACTGATGACGAGTGAAGTAAGCAGAACCAGGGGAACAATGTGCACAGTAACAGCAACATTGTGTGATGTCCAACTCTTTTAGACTTAGCTCTTCTCAGTAATACAATGATCCGAGACAACTCCAAAGACTCATGATGGAAAATGTTTTCCACATCCAGAGAAAGAACTATAGAGTCTGAATGCAGATTGAAGCCTACTGTTTTCAGTTTTTTGGTTTTTTTCTTATTTGTAGTTTTTCCTTTTTGTTCTGATTCTCCTTTCACAACATGACTAATGTGGAAATATGTTGAACATGATTGTATATGTATAATCTATAACACACTGCTTACTGTCTTGGGGGAGAGAAAATTTGGAACTCAAAATTTTGCAAAAATGAATCCTAAAAACTATCTTTACACGCAATTATAAAAAATAAAATAAAATACTATTAAGGAAAAAAAAAAGGCTCCTGAGATTCCAGGCTTGAGTCAGGAAGATTCATCAACTTGAGTTCAAATCTGGCCTTAGACACCCACCTATTAGCTGTGTGACCTTGGACAAGTCACTTAACCCTGTTTGTCTCAGTTTCCTCATCCATAAAATGAGCTAGAGAAAGCAATGGCAAATCATTTCAGTATCTTTGCCTAGAAAACCCTAAATGGGGTCATGAAGAGTCAGGCAGGACTGAAACAACTGAATATCAAACATGGTTAATCTATCATAGAGGATCTGATGCATGTGTGTTCTTGAAGGTATCCCCCATCACTCCCCCACCCTGTGGTCCTGTTAAAGGAAGGCTTACCTTCATATGGGATTTGAGATTGTCCTTGCGGGCACACCGGAATGGACAGAGAGGGCACTGGTGACTTTTTAAACCGGTGTGAATCACCATATGCCGCTTCCAGTAACTCTTCCGTTTTATAACCAAACCACATATCGGGCACTGGAAAGGTTTTCCTCCTTCTTCTTCTGGGGCTTAGAAGAGGGAGAAAGGGGAAAAAAAGTGGGGGAATAAATTAAAGGCAGTCAGTGCTGGTCCGCTTTCAGTGAGTTATAAAAAACCCCAAATGAATCGGTCTTTTCTTGCTATTTCATAAACTTCATCCGCAATAAGATTTCATCATGGATTATTTTAGTGTGTTCATTCAGTGGCCTCCTGTCTGGTTCCATCTTCTCACCCTATCATCATCCTGTCTTTATGAAAAAATTCCTGCCCCCACGTCTGGCCCCCAAGGACCATCATTAGCCATGTTGACCAGCTTGGAGCATATGCGCTTTGTCTCGCCTGCCCTCGACCCCTGCCTGGTGATCTACGTGAACCTGGAGATGGCCAACTTCTACGGCTTAGCCTCCTGAACATTGTAGAGGTAACATCACAGAGGAAACAAGTGTTCCAGAGGCTACGTCTAAATTTTTGGATAAGGATAATGGAGAAAGAAAATAAAAGTCAGATTGAAGCCACAAAATCATTCACAGCTCTTACGCAGAGCAAAGCACGCGGTGTCACTAGGCTCACACGCTGACCTCCAGTGGAGAATGATTCCAGAACCCCTGCTGTCATGCTTGTTTGGGGATGGCTGGAGCAGATGCCGCTGCCACATTAGCCATCAGGGGGTCCCCGGGTCAGGCCTTGCTTCCCCCCCTTTCTTTCTGTTCTTCTGTTTGCCCCTGGAGGCAATGGGCTGCCCTCCCAGGCATGCAGACTTGCAGCCTGGGCCCCTTTTAGGAGACGAGGCACCTAGCCCTGTCCTTCGGCACACACCAGCCGCTCAATAAGTATCTGTGGAATGTTCAAATGAAAAGTTATGCAAGGCAAATGGTGAATGCTTCCATTTCGCAGAAAGAACTAACTGCCTCTGTGGGACAAAAATAGGAAAAATTCTCCCCCAAAAAGAAAAAAAAAAAGAGTGTGTCTGCCATTGCTTCATTTAGCAGTCACAGCAAATCATGTTGTCCAATGCAATATCTGGCCTCGCATTATTGGAGTATAAGAAATGAAAAAAATCTCCAGCTAAGGGCTCTGAGTTTTCTCTGTTAATTACCAGGAATCAGTAATATTTCCCAAGTGCCTAATTATAAATTACCCCATTATTTATTTATTATCTTCTCAACCATTAGTCTCTACCTGCAAAGAGCTATTCAAATTGCAAGGTCTCCAGTGAAAGGAAAGGAGCTGATAAGAGCTCAAAGACAATGCGGAAACATTCCAAAATGCCACCGTATTCCCTGGCTGCATGGAAAGGTCGGGTAATCACTCCTTTTCTGATTTAAGCAGGCTCGCTTAGGTTGGGCCACCAGCCAGACAGGAAGTACACTTTCTAAGAGTGCACTGATCCAGACTGCCCTGACTTCTTCGGCCTGGGCCACTTGACACTGAAGATGGGTCCTCCTCCTACTGCTTAACAGGTGACTAGAGAAAACATCAGTGTTATCACTCACTGAAATTAATCGAAATGGGAAAGACTTTACAGAAAGTTTCCCTTAATCCAGTCATTATTTTCTCCCATCTCCTCTTCTCTTGCTTTCTCCTCTCTGCCTCCTTGGAAAGTTCTGCTTCATGGTCTCACCAAAGTAAGGTGATATCTGGATTACTCTAGGGCTATGCCTGGGGAGCGCAGTCTCTGGGAAGTCCCATTGCCCTGGAAAGGATCTGAGGATGGGGCTACTCACAACAGGCTCATAGACTTAGAGCAAGAAGCGGCATGAAAGAATTTACTCAACCCCTTCATTTTACAGATGGGGAAATTGAGACTCAGAGAGGTTATGCAACTTGCCCAAGCCAGTAAATGATGATGATGATGATGATGATGATAATGATAATGGTGATGATGATGATGAGAGCATTTATATAATGTCTTAAGGTTTGAAAATCACTTTACAAATTTCATCTCATTTGATGTAGGTGCTGTTATTATCCCCATTTTACAGATAAGGAAACTGAGGCAGACAGCGGTTAAGTGATTTGCCCAGGGTTATATAGTCAGTAAGCATTTGAGGTTGAATTTGAACTCAGGTCTTCCAGACTATAGGTCCAGCCCCCAATCCATTGCACCACCTAGCTATCTCTGTGCCAAGTGAGTGGCAGTGTTGGATCTGAACTCAGGGCATAGGATAATAGGCTCATAGAGTTAGAGCTGGAAGAGATCTTAGAAATAATTTAGTTCAACCTCTTTATTTTACAGATGAGGAAACTGAGTCCCATGTAGTTTAAGTGATTTGTCCAAGGTTACTCAGGTGGAAATAGCAGAGTTAGGGTTTGAATCTAAGTCCTCTGATACCAAAAGGCAGGTAGGTGGTACAGTGGATAGAGCCCTGAGCTTGGAATCAGGAAGACTCATCTTCCCAAGTTTAAATCTGGCTTTAGACACTTACTAGATATGACCCTGGACAGGTCACTTCACACCATTTGCCTCAGTTTCCTCATCTGGAAAATGAGCTGGAGAAGGAAATGGCAAACCACTCCAGTGCCCTTACCAAGAAAACCCCAAATGGCTCATGAAGAGTTGGACACCACGGAAAAAACAAATAAACAAACCTGATTCCAAATCCAACATTCTTTCCACTGCCCCACACTGCCTCCTACAGATAACAGATTGTGTATAGCAGAGGTCCAGGGTAACTTAGTTGGGAAAGTTTCATTACCAGATTTTGGGGGCTAAGGAACTTATGAAACCCATCCAGTAAAGCATGAAAGAATTGAAAATGGCATTATGTGATGAAGACAAGGATATTAAAAATTATTAAAGGCTTTCTATACTAATTGCTCTGACAGGATTTTAAAAACTCACGTCTCATTATACCTCCTATTTTCTATCCTACATTGAGACTGCCAAGAGCTGTAGGACTGAACTTCAGGTTACACATTCAGAACGATATAAAATAAGCCCCTTCGTGGCCCAGTGGACAGAGAGCTAAGCTTGGGGTTACAAAGTTCAACTCTGGCCTCAGACACTTGCAGCTGTGTAACTCTGAGCTAGTCACTTAATCTGTTTGCCTCAGTTTCCTCAAATGTAAAATGGGTCTCAGTTTCCTAATCTAAACATGTGGACTTCTAGGACCTCTTCTGCTCCACATCTATGATCTATATGATTCTTTTTCTCCCCCTGATTCTTTTAACAATCTACTTGATACTTCACGTGCATCCTATCTGAACACAATTGAATTTACTTTATCTTCCATGATTAGATTTAGGGAGGGACACTTGGATTCCATTTAAAATAAACTGTATGCACATGCTACACGAATTAGGCTATCTTGATAATGTGGGTAGTTTTAATGGAGAGGAACTTCCTTCAAACACTAAAATAAGGTCAGGTTCTACAGGATAACATTGCCCAGCACAGCAAGACCAGAAAGGAAGGTGACAATGTCCAGATCAATAAAGGTTAACGATGAGATGATCTGAGCCAAAGCTTGATATGCATATAAATTCTTCTAGAAGATTTGAGGTTTCAGCTTGCAAATGCTAGTTCTGAGGGCAAGGGACCACTTTACTGATCCATTCAAGCCATTCATTCTTCCAGCACCCAGAACTGCTCTCCAAGTTACTTCCTACTAAGTTCTGAGCCTGAGGCAACATGACCACTTATTCAGAAGTGACATTTGTTCTGGATGTTGGGTATCTGAAGTTGGCAGTGGGTGTTCATTTAAAAAAAATAAGACTGACAGGTGGTTTACTTTGTTGAACAAGTACTTAAAACATCCTGTTCCCTAATAGGTTTCATTAACCTGTAGATGGGAAGGCCCGGTCTCCAACATTTACTGGCTGTGTGTTATGATAACAGGAATGTCAGACTCTCGAAGTTAAAGTGATTTTCCTAAAGGTAAGTCTGACCAAGTCAACCTTCCCTCCCCCAATAAACTCCCATGACTCCCCATTACCCCTAGGATCAAATATAAACTCTTCTCTTTGGCATTCAAAGTTCTCCACAAACTACCTTCCCACCCCATCCTACCTTCCCAAATCTCTTAAACACTACTCCCCTCCAGGGACTCTTCAGTCTAGCCACACTAGGTCTGCTCGCTATTGTTCATACATGTTCATATATTTCCCATCTCTGTGCTTTTGCACTGGCTGTACCCCATGTCTGGAGTGCTCTTCCTTCTCACCTCTGCCTCTTGAATTGCCTAGTTTGAAAACTCAGTTCAAATGCACAAGGGCTTTCCTGATCCCTCCAGCTGCTAGTGTTTTCCCCTCTAGTGTTCCTTTGTGTCTGCTTTACATTTGTGATATGTGTGTATACATATATATATATATATACATACACACATATATATATACACGTACACACACAGACGCAGACACGCACATATATACTGAGATAGATACTTTTTTGCATATTACCATATACATGCTTTATATCCTTATGAGTATAAATATACATACACATTTACACATATATATCTCTCCCACTAGAATGTAAGCTCCCTGAGGACAGAAACTATGCCACTTTTGCCTATGTATCTCCTTAGACTAGCGCATGATATGTGCTTATTAATTTCAAACTCGCTAGATTGAACCTCGGTTTCTTCATTTGTGAAAAGGGGATAATAAGACCTACAGCATCCACCTCCTGGGGTTGTTCCGAGTGCAAATTTAATAATGTTCACAAATCCAATTCAATTCAGCAAATGTTCATTAAGCATCTAGCAGCTGGTGGGGGTGCAAAAATAAACAGAAAAAAGTTCCTTCCTTTAATGCTTATTGATGGGATAAGGTATACACACATACATATGTATATCTCTACATAGATCTCTATACACACATACTCATATAACTAGATAAAAAGTTCTTTTAAGAGCTAAAAAAACACTAACCACTGAAGGGATCAGTAAAGGCCTCACTACAGGGAGATAGGTGGTCCTTGAACTTGGTTTTGAAGGAAGTTAGCGGATTGATTCTGAGATGCAGCCATTAAGTACAGAGTTAAAGCACTTTGCCTACTGTGAAGGGTGGTATGAATGTCCTTCATCAT